CAGTCTATCACTTTCTGCTAAACCTCTACTTGTATTTATCACAATAGAAATAGATGTGGCTAGAAATACAAGAATCATAGGAGGGTCAGCAGATGGTATAGTGGTTAAGGTGGCTGGATCCCACATGGCCAAGAACAGGGTTCGAATCTCTGACACAGGGGCTTGCGAAACATGCCAGATTTATGTGTGCTCCTAAAATCCCAAGAAGAGATTAGAGAAGAAGGTATTACAGTGTGGTCTTCCCCTCTGAGGGGTGCTTTCTCACTCACTTCCCCCATCTGTCCCTAGTGAGCACATGTGCACTTCAGCAATTTTTTAAAAAGGAATCATGAGAGAAGACCCAGCTCATATCAATGTGTTTCTCTTTACTCTATAATTTTGTGCACCAATTGTAGGCTGTCCTGGTTGATTTCCAATATCTTAAACAATTATTCTCTAGATGCAATTGAGTTTTTACACTTATTCTCCATAAGAGGGATGGTTTGATACAAATATTTTTTCATAGCTCAATCTGAAGATTACCTTCTTAATCCCACAACTTTTGTTATTTTGTTTTACTTGTATATTTTGTCATCATTTATTTATTAATATTTTCTCATTTTCATTTTGATGTTTTCCTGACCCCATGAAGTTTTCTATCAGACCATCTTTTCTGTGTCTTCAGAGTCTTTCAGTCCCATACCGGCCCACTTACTCTGACTGTCCCCACTAAGGCCACCAAACGCATTAGTACCATGTGGTTCCACTGTCTGAGGCCAATGACCAGCGATTCTAGCATCTTTCACCCCCTCTAAGCTCAAATTCTGTGGGAATTCAACTTTGCAATGGCCATTAAAGTGACCAAATGGCAATACCCTGAAATTTTAGGGAATGAGCTTTCTTCAACATTGGTTTTGACCTATGGGACAGGAGTGAGGAGAGTGCTGGGACACAGATAATGTTTTTCTATAACTTGTCAGTAGAAAAATGATGCCTGGGTTCTTTGTGGTTTGAAAAGCAGAGACCAGTGATTTTCAGATATATAACTTCTATTTTCAGATATATAACTGCTATTTGAAATAAATGGCTTACATTGGGATCAGCAGATTGCATAATTACATCCAGTGAATACCATGTCGTCAACTGCAGTTCGAGTCCCAGACCCAGTGGTTTAAAATTCACATTAGGCTCATGTTTGTGTTTGCCCAAAATCCTGAGAGGAAAGGCACGTGTTCGTATTTGCCCAAAATCCTGAGAGGAAAATTAAAGGGAAGGAATTGCAACATGGCCATCCCCACTGGGAGTGGGAGTGGGTGATTTCTCACTTTTTTTCTCTCTGTTTCTCACTGTCTCTCTGTTAATTGCACACACCCTGTAGCAAAAATTTCTCTACAAACACACACACACACACACACACACAAACCAACAAAAAGCTTACACTTCTCTCCTGAAGTTACCAAACTTGATTATTATTTCCTTGAATATATTCCGTTATACTAAAAATTACTGGGCCAGCTGTGGCAGCATGTGCTGGCTGATGCTGCTACTCAGGTTGAGGACACATACGTGGCCCAGGTTCAATTTCTTCTTCTCTTTATTTGGATCATGAAGAGAATGTCTCATCTTTAAGTATGTGCTCAATTTTAATGATAAATACACTTTTATCATCAGCGGTTAAGGAAACCATAATCAACCTAACATAAACAGTAGAACTTAGGCAAGACTCAGATCTTTCATTCTTATGGTCAGTACTAATATGACATTGTGTCTTAATTCATATTCTGGGAGTGATAATATGATAGGCTTAGCCAGGTCTATTAATGAGCTCTCCTGGAATCATGAGTCTGACTCTGACACAATCATCGATAGCCAGGGAGTTTCCTGTGTGATGCAACAAAGGCATTTTATGCTTGTGTGATCAGAAAGCCACTTTGGAAAGTCTATCATGAAGAATGTGGGGAACCAGCAGTTGGCGTAATGGCTATGTCGCTGGACTCCCACGTAGTCGACCGCGGTTCGTGTCCTGGACCCGGTGGCTTAAAACTCACGCCAGGCGCGTGTGCGTGCGTGCCCAAGATCCCGAGAGGAGAATGGAGGAGAAGGGATTGCGGCGTGACCATCCCCCCTGGGGGGTGATTTCT